TTCGAGGAGGACTCGAACGCCTTCAGCTCATCGAGGAGCGTCTCCAGCTGGCTCTCCTCGCGCCGAATCGGCATCAGCACGGCCATCGCGTCATCCAGCGTGTCAATTGCGTCTCTATTGTCGAAATACCGCCTTACCATGTTGAAAGTCGACGACAACCGAGTCGCCTGACGCAATACCGGTCCCAATTTTTTTTCCCCCTAAAAACAAAATTTAAGTTAGAAATTGTCAATAAGCTAAAGGAATATTTTACTTACCTCAAACTTGCGGACTCATTCAAACCGTGTAATTTATGCATGAGTGGCTTCACCTTGTCCAGTATGGGCTCGTAGCTCCCCATGTACTCCACCACTACCAGGTTCAATCTATGGCTGGCGTACCCCACGAAGGGTACCTTCATCAACGAAGCAATACAGCCGTTTGTGGCGCAATTATCGGCGACAAGGTAGACAGGGAGCGCTTGAAGAATCCCTATATCATGCGTAGAAAGGCTACGTGAGCCGGGGCCGAGTGGTTAACGATATCGTCGTCAGGGGTTGGTAGTAGCATTGAAAACTTGGTAGTAGTAGTACTGGTACTATTGCAGCCTCTTCAGCACGTGCATATTGAATATAGTAGCGATTGTACGAGATGGTAGTAGTAGTAGTAGTACTATTACTCTACTATTTGGTCTACTATTTCTGACTTGTCGCCTTCCAGGCATCTTGCTTCATTTTCACCAGCTCGTCCCTGTTGTGCCGAAGCAGAAGTTGTCTTTCAGCACGTCTACCATCCGTCCTGGTCCTCAAAGGACCCATCACTATTCCACCCGTCGAAAACACCCGCTCTTGGTACGTCGATGACGAGATCTTTCCGAGGTGAATGCGCGCAAGCAAGGCTATAGAGGGGAAATGCTTTTCGCCTACATCCCTGAACCACTTCAAGACGTCGATATGCTTGTATAGCCTCAGAAGTGCCCAATGCATACCATTTTGCGAGTCGATTGACATCTCTTTCGATAGCTCCTCCTTCGGGATATCAGGATTCTGCTTCTGAGCAACTTCTAGCCACTCCGGTTTCAAAATTTAACCACTCCTTCATCACAGCATCAGCCCTAGCATTGAGTTCAGTCTCCTTCACTTCTTCACGTGTCTTGCTCGTCCGGATTGGAGCTCCTAGGAGGTGTTCGTCTTCGTCGTC